TCTTCTCTGTCTTTTTTCTTATTTGATTCAATTGTTTGAAAAGAAATTAATTCATTATTTTTATATTTATTGAATTCATAATTTAAATCAATTGAACTTCGGATGCAATCTCGAAGTTTGTCAATATTATAGCCATTCTTAGCGCAAACACCTATTATTTGCTCAAAACGTATCAATTTATTTGGTTTTAAGCACTCGTTTGTAATGCTTTTCAAACCAGAGTTTTGCAAAACTTTGAGTTCATCTAAGAATTGGCAGAATTTGTCTTCACTTTCCTTATTATCCAATTTGGAGATCACAAGAACTGCCGGTTTGGACACAAGGGTGTCGTCGTAGAGCTCTAACTCTCTGTTCAGAAGCAGATATGTCTCTAATGGCGAGCGTTGAGGCCATTCGGGTCTGTATTTGAATCCGTTTATGTCGATCACAAACACCAATAGTTTGGTCCTAACGATGTGTTTGAGGAACTTATGGCCCAAACCTATGTTATTGTGTGCGCCCTCTATAAGACCGGGTAAGTCGGCGACACTTATCTGCCGGAAGTCATTGAATTCCATGACTCCTATGTTTGGGTTGATTGTAGTGAACGGATAGTTAGCTATTTTAGGCGACGCTCGCGACACGGCTTTCAGAAGCGTTGATTTGCCAGCGTTTGGGAAACCGATGAGTCCGGCGTCGGCTATCAGTTTCAGGTCTAATACAATGGTCTGCTTTTGACCCTTAAAGCTATTTTAGGCGACGCTCGCGACACCGCTTTCAGAAGCGTTGATTTGCCAGCGTTTGGGAAACCGATGAGTCCGGCGTCGGCTATCAGTTTCAGGTCTAATACAATGGTCTGCTTTTGACCCTTAATTCCCAAGTAGTTGTTGTGTTGGTTACCACCCGTTCCCCCCAATGCCACCAACACTCTGTCGCCCACTTGATCCAACTCTCCCAAAGTCTTGCCGTTTTCGCTGACGACAGTCACACCGACCGGCGCTTTGATCACACAATCGGTTCCGTTGTCTCCGATGACCCGATAGTGAGCGCTGTTCTCGCCTGAAGAGGCCGTGTATTTCCGTTTAGACAACTTCTTCAGAGTCATCTTCTCCACCGCTTCCACATAGACATTACCACCACTGCCTCCCATTCCCCCAAACTTAGGCATTCCGTGTCCACCACTTCCACCGCTCACTGTTAGCCTCAGACTGTCCAAGAAATTCCGGTAACGCTCCTGAAGATAATCACATGAAGTTTAGGTGACTTTTAGTGTAAACAAGTGATGCAAACATACCTTCACGAAGACACGAATTGGCGGCACTTCTGACTGTTGGTGGAGAAGACGAATTGATCCCAATTTGCATCTAATCAGTGATATCTTCGCCAAATGGGATAACATTTTGTTTGATTTGTAGACCAATTGACAAACAAATCACACATTTATTTGTCATTCAATGCAACAAAACATACAAATCATGTGTTTTCTCGCGTTTCACTTTTTTATGTCTATATTATGAACACAATTAACGCTTAGTTTTATTGTGGAAAATATGATGCAATCCTATGGCAGTCAATGGTTGCCCCGAAAGCGGGCATCAAATTAGTGGTGATATTATGAGACATACTTTATGTCTAATCAGATGTTTATTCAAATGTAAACAAAGCATTGATTTGTTAATTGTTTGCATTTAAAGGTCTAAACAGTAAATGGAAAGTGAGTTCACATTGAAGTGAATGTTGGCTTTCATTCACACATTTGTAGGCGTTTTGTGTGAAACAGTGAATGCATTCAATAGTTGTGTCATTGGATGTGACACTCGGTTGAAGTGAACAATCATTAGCCAAATGAGTGGACATCAGAAGTGGTGGACTAAACGGGTCTTCAATTGGTCCTCAAATGCAGACACAAGGAGTACACCAACCGGTGCTTCACCTGATAAGCCGAAGGACACCACCAGTGACTCGATGTCCTGTGTGTCCAACGAGTCCAGCGATGGACTCAATCAAAACAAATACATGAATCTATTGGTGAAACGGATCCGCAAGAGGTTTAAGATGTCGGGCGACGAGGAAAGGATTGGATGGATGTCTGACAGCAATGTGAAGGAGTGCTACGAATGCGGGGAGAAGTTCACGACATTGAGGCGAAGACATCACTGCCGGATCTGCGGTCAGATATTTTGCACCAAATGTTGCGATCAGGAGATTGACGCCAAACTCTTGGACCTGAACTCTCGCGGATCCGTTCGCTCGTGTAATTACTGCCACAAAATTGTCAACCAATACATGAATGAGAGGAATCTGGACACCAATTGTCTGAACAAAGACTCGGATTTCAATGAATTCCGTGAAATGATTTTCTCGAAAAGTTTGGCTCAAAATAGCGACGAAAAGGACACGTCTTTTGCTGATAAGTCGATAGCGAATCCCATCCTAAGTCCCAACTCTAAGGCCTTATTTCGACGAAAGAGTTCCATTGGTTTTCGCGAAGAAGAATACGCGAAACCAAAGACACGAGTTCTGGACATCGAAAAGGACGCCATCAATAAAATGGGTTCTCCATCACCTCTTCCCAGTCTGTCGTCTTTAGGCAGTTATAAGACTCCCTTCAAAGGCAATGATGGTGATGATGATCTCATGCCTCTGAGAAGTGATGAGACGACTCACGAACCGCTTTGGGTTAAGGAAATCAACGAAGAATACGATTCACAAAGCTTTGAGAAAATAGACTCCCCTTTAGAGCTGATCCAAAACAGTGACGCCAAGTTAAGACTAACAAAGCCATCGGTCTCTCCCACCAGACGTATAGCGTATTCGACGTCAACCTATGATATAGAGATGGACTTCGAGAAGGACAGGGTTACCATCAGTAGAGCTGAGAAAACGGACTCAACTGAGGAGAAGCCTATCGATGCAAATGATGGACAGACGACAACATCCGATGATCTGAGTGTTGACTTTGATGTGACCACTGCTGCACCCAATTGGGACGCAGTTAAAGACGGAACCGATTATAACTTTGTTTACGAATCACTCANATTTTGTGGCAGTAATTACACGAGCGAACGGATCCGCGAGAGTTCAGGTCCAAGAGTTTGGCGTCAATCTCCTGATCGCAACATTTGGTGCAAAATATCTGACCGCAGATCCGGCAGTGATGTCTTCGCCTCAATGTCGTGAACTTCTCCCCGCATTCGTAGCACTCCTTCGCATTGCTGTCAGACATCCATCCAATCCTTTCCTCGTCGCCCGACATCTTAAACCTCTTGCGGATCCGTTTCACCAATAGATTCAAGTATTTGTTTTGATTGAGTCCATCGCTGGACTCGTTGGACACACAGGACATCGAGTCACTGGTGGTGTCCTTCGGCTTATCAGGTGAAGCACCGGTTGGTGTACTCCTTGTGTCTGCATTTGAGGACCAATTGAAGACCCGCTTAGTCCACCACTTCTGATGACCACTCATTTGGCTAATGATACAAGTGAAGTTGGCTCACAGTGTAGGTTACTGTGTTGATAACTTACGTAAGTGACAAAGTGTGTTTTGCGGATGTTTACACACTTACTTTCGGTTGTAAGTGAAGTTACACTTGAGTGAAAGGTAACATTTACTGTACCTTTAAATGCAAACAATTAACAAATCAATGCTTTGTTTACATTTGAATAAACATCTGATTAGACATAAAGTATGTCTCATAATCACCACTAATTTAATGCCCGCTTTCGGGGCAACCATTGACTGCCATACGATTGCATAATATTTTCCACAATAAAACTAAGCGTTAATTGTGTTCATAATATACGCGAGAAAACACATGATTTGTATGTTTTGTTGCATTGAATGACAAATAAATGTGTGATTTGTTTGTCAATTGGTCTACAAATCAAACAAAATGTTATCCCATTTGGTGAAGATATCACTGATTAGATGCAAATTGGGATCAATTCGTCTTCTCCACGAACAGTCAGAAGTGCCACCAATTCGTGTCTTCGTGAAGGTATGTTTGCATCACTTGTTTACACTAAAAGTCACCTAAACTTCATGTGATTATCTTCAGGACCGTTACCGGAATTTCTTGGACAGTCTTAGGCTAACAGTGAGCGGTGGAAGTGGTGGACACGGAATACCTAAGTTTGGAGGAATGGGAGGCAGTGGTGGTAATGTCTATGTGGAAGCGGTGGAGAAGATGACTCTGAAGAAGTTGTCTAAACGGAAATACACGGCCTCTTCAGGTGAGAACAGCGCTCACTATCGGGTCATCGGAGACAACGGAACCGATTGTGTGATCAAAGCGCCGGTCGGTGTGACTGTCGTCAGCGAAAACGGCAAGACTTTGGGAGAGTTGGATAAAGTGGGCGACAGAGTGTTGGTGGCATTGGGGGGAACGGGTGGTAACCAACACAACAACTATTTGGGACTTAAGGGTCAAAAGCAGACCATTGTATTAGACCTGAAACTGATAGCCGACGCCGGACTCATCGGTTTCCCAAACGCTGGCAAATCAACGCTTCTGAAAGCCGTGTCGCGAGCGTCGCCTAAAATAGCAATATTGACAAACTTCGAGATTGCATCCGAAGTTCAATTGATTTAAATTATGAATTCAATAAATATAAAAATAATGAATTAATTTCTTTTCAAACAATTGAATCAAATAAGAAAAAAGACAGAGAAGAGGATGATATTGCGCTCATTTGAATTGAATACCATATTATCTTGTTCATTTAATATATTTTACTCATATTTTTCTCTATAAAAATTGTAAGAATATTCTTAATTTGAGAAATTGTTTAGAGTTTGAAACTTATGTTTGTTTATATGTTTGTGAATAAAATGCATAACCCGTCAAACGAGTAGTCTATTGAATACATAAGGGATGTATCGATGGATTTGAAAGTGAGCGCAAAGAGCGGATGGAGAGCCTATGCGCTCATATGTGTCGCTATGGAGTCCGAAGTGATGTAATAGTAGTGGTAATGAAATGGCATTAATTTATGGCAATAATATTGAATCGCATTTGAAAGGAGTTGTGTTGTGAGGAGAGTCTGTCTGTAGTGTTAGATCTGAGAGACTGAGAGTCGGTTTCCAGCGATAGGTATCTGAGAAGCAAAACAACACAAAAGGCAGGGACTGGAGGACTGGAGCTCTGACTGCTATTGCAGTCTATTCTCACGAATCGATTTTGTGTCAAAAAGCCTGAAGAAGAGCATCGACTATAAGGCAAAGCCATTCATATACTGATCCCAAACACTACTTACTGTTACTCCACAACAGACTCCAACCGTTGCCGTCAGAGCACAGACACAACGCTTCCCAATGTTTACTGAATATCATCACAACTCGTGCACCACATCCATGGCCTCAGCCATACATACAGTCCTCTCTCTATCTCCTCGTAACTGATCAACACTTTTAATATTTTATGATTTCATGTTTTGCTTCAATAGTTCAATACATTCAATACATCCATACAATCCATACATTGTTTTCTATTCAAATGCATTCAACAATTAATTAATAATTACTAAACCATTGATTGCAACCCAATCTCATTGTATGTCAATTCCGTTTGACTCTTCAATTGGCAATCAATTGTGACTTCATTTACAACCGTAAGTCATATGCTTATATCAAACTCATAAATATTTGTTTTCAATGCTATTTATTACAATATTTCTTATGATTCATTCAAATATATCTAATTCTAACTCTAATCGTGAAATCTATATCATTCTCATGTATATAGCATTTTGCTATCAAATCACATAAACATTGAGAATATAATGAATATAAATGATTTGCCATTTTAAATAAATACTTATTACAGCATAACTTATTCATTCATTTCACTCAATATAGTCAATAGAATTCATTATAAAGAATATTCTTGTATAATTCAAATGTCACAATTTTTATAATAAATTAGACTACTATTCAAAAAAAGATCTATAATTTTGTAAGAAAACAATTTGTCTTGAGGAATTTCCTTTTATCCATTTAAAAGTTTTAAAATTATATTAAATTCATGAGATTTTTTATAATTAAAAAGTTTTGTTGTAAAGTTTTTTGGCTAAAATTTGCATTAAGTCTTCTTTGTGTGCATTCTTTAATATACAATATTTAATGAATATTTTTTGTGAAAATTTAATGAAACTATAAAATAAAATCTATTAAAACGAGCCCATATTTATGTGAATACTGTATATTAATATATACGATATAATTAAATGACTTTTGAAAGACATTATATTAAATTAAATTAAATGATATCTAATCATTTAATCGATTAGACAAAGTCAATTTAAACAAAAGTAATATTAAGCTAAATTTTATCTAACGTAACTTATTTGTAGATTTTTTGAGACTATTTAATTATCGTATTAAATAAATTAATAAATGCTTATCTTTTTATTATAATTATTATGTCTATCATAAAATGAATATTCTGATAAGTTTTAGAATGATATGCAACCCATTCATAGTTAAAATCATATTTGATAAAACAATAATAAGATTATACAATGTATTATATTATTGTGCATAGCATAGTGTATTTCATTTTAAAATAAAATGTTTTTAAAATTTTGTACTAGTAATTAGTTTTGTACAAGATTACAAGATTTATTATACAAAACAATTATTATCTCTTATAGATCTTGTTTTGTATTATTCTGCAAAATATAACTCATTCTTCACATAATTCTACAAATTAATTGAAACATGTATTAAATTTAATCCATATAAGCATACAATGAAGCATGAAATTATATATCAAACATGAGATTTTATATGAAATCTTCATGTAAAAAGTTACTTTACATTCATTCAATGAATAAATGCATTCCAATTAATACTTTTCATATTAGTTTACTGAAATGAAATGAATTTTTACTTTAATTATCAATTTGAATCTGACTGACATACAATTCAAAGTCTACTACATATACTAATAATAAGATAATTATAATAAGCAAATGATTATATTTTATAATTAAAATATAAAACCATAGAACATGTGTAATTTGTGTTTTAATAATAGAAACAAATCTTTATATTTTATTTTTTTATATTACTGTACTTTTATGAACATGTTGTCTAAACCGTATGTTTGAATATATTAATTTCAATAATATTTATTTGAGAACGAAATATATTTTTAATTTACTTTTAAAAATGAGTTGCACACATCTTTATTATGCAATATATTCAGATAAAATTATATCAATATTTAATAGCACACCCTGAAAAAAGCAATTATTTAATATTTATATATTTTTTTGTATTCATGTTATATTAATTGCAATATAAAATATATAGAATTATTGTTTGGTTTGACATACTTTTGCATAAAATATATCAGAATATCTACTAGTTTTGCATTGCATTTCAGTTTTATTAGGGTTTTAGAAATATTGTAAATAAAAGCTACCATAAAAAGATATCGTATTTGTTATTCATTACAATAGCAATCATCAAATACTATAATAGATTAGACTTAATTATAATGAATCATGTTATCGGAAAATCATTAGTAAGTCCCAAAAATATTGTATTTTACAAATTCTGCTGAAAGTCTTATTCTTTAATGGAATCTAAATTTAGAATCAAATTTGTTATTAAAGTTATTATTAATAAATGAAATACATAATAAACAAAAATGCTTTCATTTGCATGAATGATTTGCAGCTAAAATGAACGAAACATTAAAATTTGAAATTAATTAATAATGGGCTCTGAATGTAAGCAATGTTTGCCTCACAGAATATGTGCTCTCAAGCCTTAAAAGTGTGCATTTGTTGGCATAAACGACAGGAA